TTGGTGATTACTGATGTGGATTTCATTTTCCAGATTGGTGTTGAGCTGATTTTGGAAGGGAATCATCCTGCTATTAATGGTAAGTTTGATTACACTTTTCAAATTTGCTGACTCTGTGTCAGTATTCCATTACTCCCTTTTTTCGATTAACTTTAAATTCTTCTGGTGTATTGTTCTAATGTTGCCTGTTATCTCTGCTTCCACAAGGTATGCTAGAAGTTTCTCGGTCGATCGAATCCAAGCAGATAAAGTGTAATGCAAACCCTTCCGTAGATAAATCTTCTGGGAGACACTATCATGTGGTTGTTTCCCAACGAATTTGTTGCCTAATGATTCTCTATGTTCAATTTGCTTCACCAAATGTTGTCCAACCTTGCAGTCCATTGTTGAGTTTTGGGTCTTATGTCTTTAAAGGTTGTCGTTCCTTGTACGTAAGTTACTATCATCTTACACGCCTCTGCAAATTTTAATACTCCCAATATTAGGAGGATGCCTCAAACTATTTAGTTAATGTATGCTTTGAAATTGTAAAAAAATCATCTTGAGCTTTCAACGTCGCAGATTCATGAATTTTTCCATCAAACATGCGATTTCTTGGATTTTCCCTTGTAGGAACTTTGGGACCGGTTCACACAACTGACGTGCCCTTGTTACTCTCCCGAGAATGGAGATTGATGAGGAAGACCTGTTGATCATTTGCTTCGGAAGGAAATGTTAGGCTAATGAAAGTCTGCTTCTACGGTGACGTCGTCTTCCAAAAACATCCTTGTCCTTTATTACTAATCATTAGCTGCAAGTAAAATCCAATATGTTGTTGCTCATGTAAATTTTATATTTTATGCAGAGTATGACAGTGGTAGCAAATGAAGCCATTCCTTAGAGCTACCGAAGATATTGCGTTTTCTGTGACTGTGCACCTCTTTTCCAGGCTAGTTATCCTTTCTATAATGCTAAAGCGCGTCGTATCGGTTTGTTACGGTGAATCAAGTATCTTATTAACCCAATTCTTGTTGGCTCGGCAGGCGTATATTCATGAAACAGGTTTAACACTTGCGGAAAATGCATAGCAGCGTACGGCCAGATCGAAAAACTCGATAATAGTGACCTTCTTCAATCTAAGGCGACACAAGCTGCTTCTAAAATCCTGCAGACTAGACCAGGATAGTTATTACATCTATACCCTGTTTCACAATTTATGCTTGCTTTTCCATGGAGCTAACTTGGTTATTGTAGCATTTGGTTCGATAAGAAGTTGTAAATCTCTTAGCACTTTCAATGGAACTACTTCCTTTTTCTCAACAGACCATATAGCAATCAAAATATCACTATGCAGGGACTTCAATTCAGGCGAGAGCCGGTAAAGTTCTTCTAAACGTGCTACCAAAACCAAACATTAGTTTTAGTGATAAGTCCGCTACTGACATAGCTTTGGCTAATGGCTTTTGTAGCTCATTTTCTTCATCGAGTTTTAAAAGCATCTTTCTACATATCTAATGGTTTTGAACTTTACATCTTTATGACATCTTAATGCTTTCTTAGTGGTTTCTGCCTGCAGGTGCGCGGAGGTCGTGATAATAGTGTTGCTCTTACTGTCATGGTTGGTGCTTGAGGCTGCGACCGGGGCTGTTGATATTGTGGAACAGCAGACCGTCGATGAGGGTAACACTGTTGATACTGTTGTTGGTATTGCTCTGCTATTGTGAAAAGTCTTAAACCAATGTCATGTGCTTTGCAGGTTGTTCAAGAGCTGAGGCTGCCGGTGTTATACTTCGGTATTTCAAGGTCTCCGTTTGCGGCGTTATGCTCAAAACCTCTCGTATTGAACTTTCAAAATTAGATCCTCTTCCTCGTGAATTCACAAGAAGGAAACAGTGGTCTATGTGAGTGTTTTGACTTGTTGTTCTCGGTTTCGTTAACAGGGTTGGAAACTAAACTCCGTGGGTAACGATACAGTTGTAGCATCAAAGCCATTGTGGAAAGGAACAGGTATCTGTCCAATTTGTGTTGTGACTGCTCATGAAGTTGGGATGTTTCTTTTGAACACAAGTACATCTACATTTGAAGGACATAATGAGTACGACACAAGATAGTATCGGTAATTGCAATATTAACTTTATCAAATTCTGTTGGCAGGCTTGGAATGTGGGCTTGGAAAGAAGAGCATGAAGATTTGTCGTAGGCTTAGTTCATGGTTGGAGTTTGTCGCTTTTCCGACAAGCTCAACACAGGGGATCAATGCGTGCGGCTGCTAATGACTTGGCTTATGACGACTCGGATTTGTGCTTGATAATTGGTGAGTCATTATGAGTGGTTCGTTCATGATTCTTGGTAATGGTCCCGGATTAACAAGTCTGCTTTTGATTTTATGCAGGGAAATTCCAGGGTCGTGTGCCAATCTCTTCTTCCTCCCTATCACTTACCAGCGCTCCTCATTAAGGATCACGATTCCAACAAAAATCAAAAGAAAGCAACCAAATGTTGTTTGCGGTAATTATGCAGGGCGAAATTGACACACTGTGAAGCTGCAGGTCTGGAAGTCGCAGGCAAATCGTGGTGTGGCTCGAGGTCCATGGCGCGGGCGCAACATTACTGCTATGGCTTAGGATAATTCGGCAGGTTCCATGATTTACAATGACGGTTGCGATGACGACTTGATTTCGTTTTAATCTCTGTAAAGAAGTTAAAGTGGCGAGCTGCAGCGACTTGCTGGGATTCTCGCAAGAAGGCTATGTTTTGCAGGATAGCAGGAGAAGATTTATTATGCTTTAAGAAACTAATTCCTTCTATCAATGTGTTATGTAACTTTGGCATGGAATTGAATTTTGTTTTTTTGTGTAAGCTTGATGTAATGATCCATGATTATCATGGTTTAGGGGTTAATCATTCAGAGAATTTCATGACTTTGAAAACACACGCGAGAAGTGGCCTGTGAATGTTTGTATTAGTAATTTAATTCCTTGTATGGAAATTAAATAGTTTGTAAATTAAAATAGTTTGGATACTTGTGACTTCACTTGAATGATCCCTAAATTCTTCCAACCATAAGACTTTGAAGGATGACCTTTGGATTTTGGTGTCCAACCTCATAAATCTTCTCCTTATAGTTTAGAAGTTGTATGAACCAAAACTTGTACTTGGATGGATACGGCAATGACAACAGAAGATAGAAATGGTTAACTGATGAACTCGCACAGTCTAACTGTCATTTGAATTCGCAGAAATTCCTGTAGAACTTGAATTTAATTCTTGGCTGAAACTAAATGTTCCAGATACTTGATGTCTTTGAACAAGTCCGGATTAGTGAACCATTAGTGGAACTCCAAGCAAGCCTTTAAACTGTGATGATTTCTTTGCATGAACCGGGCCTTGCGGATTCTTTAAAACACAACCTTGCCATCCGAAATGAGCCAATTAGATTCAGGAAGCCACAAACCAAGCTTGAAATACCATGTAGGGACACCACAAACCAAATGACACCGACTTGATCTCGGTAAGAACCCGAATTCAACCTTTCTATCTGAGCAAAACCTTGTCTTCAACATCCCAGTTTCAAAGTACCTTTGAATGGGAGAATGAGCGACGTGTGCTTGAGACTATTGCACCTGCACAATCTGGTTAGTTGTAATAAATAAAAAGGGTAATGCGTAAAAACAAGGAAGTGGGATCTTAAGGTAAAAATTAGGTTGCAACACATAGTCATTAACATCATCTCATTCACTTCTACCATTTGCATTAAGTTTCAGAGATCCAAAAGTCTTATGACCCAATGAGAAGCTGAAAAGTCCTAACTTAGGGTCACCCATGAATGTTTCATCTATGTCTTTGTTCTTGTGCTTGTTGCTTTGAAATTAGGGTTTATACAACTTTGTTCATTAACATATTATTTAACCATTGTGCATACAAAATATGGTGTAATTGTTTCTCCTTTGTGGTCATTAGGTTTGTAAAAAGGTATTAAGGTGGGTTTCATTCAAGTCCAATGAGGTTCACATGCTCATTATCTCTCAAGATGTTCACCTTGGTTCATGATAAATCTATTTTACCAAAGCAGCTTCAAACATTGATTTTGGGTTCATTATTGCTTAAGGGACAAGGAATTCGGAAACCACATCCTCTCATGGTCAAGTTTCTTAAGATTGTTCAACGTGAAACCATGCACAAGTCATCCATCATTCAAGGTTTTCTTTCAAAACAAGTTAATGACAAAGTTATAGATTTTAAGGGGAATTCAATTATAATGCAAAAAGAGTTTCCAAGTATGTTTTATCTTGGTTCTTGAATTCAATTCACACTTGAACATTGCTCTTGTTATGACAAATTTCACACATGTGGATTCAAGATGAACAAATGCATTATGGTTTTGTTTCACTATAATCAAGTGCCAACATCACCCAAACCAAGCATGCTACATGAGTTCATAGTTCAAGCAAAGTTCAAATGAGTTATGGCATGGCTAGGTTTCTACATCAAGGCCCAAGTGTGGCACGGTTATGCAATGATCATCATTCAAACACAATTAAAGAAAAACAAAGATCCAATGGTGGGATCGTTAGATTGGCATGGGTTCAAGAAGCTATAACAACAATGACATCAATGTAAAAGGAAACTACATCAATCTAAGAGTTAAGTGCGAGAGGGGAACATAAACTAACATGAAGGATTAGCAGCCATATAATCACTTGTCAACATGGAGAACAAGCTTGGGCAAAGATACCAAGGTGGCACATCAAATTAGCATGCTTTGAATCCATAATCACGCCTTGAATATTCAAATAGAAAGCATAAATGCATCAAATTGCAGCAAGACACGCAAAGGCTATTTCCAAATTCATTCACATTTTTTAAACTAATCAAACAAGCATTGTATTCAACAAAGTACAACTCAAATTACATTCACATCAAATTACAATTTCCAGCTCCCAAACATAACTGAATTTGGATCTAACTAACTCTAACTTCATCCTTAAACTACCCTCACTCATCTCTCTAAATTGGATTCAATGCACATTTTTCAGCTCTGGATCTTCATTCGCACAGAATCCTACTCGTCCTCTTTACCTTTTGCTTACAAAACCCTCACTTGCACAATCTTCACATCTTCATCAATCAAGCTCTGCACCACACAATCCTCACTTCTTCATCAATCAAGCTCGGTACTGCACCATCCTCACATCTTCATCAATCAAGCTTTGCACTACACAATCTTCACATCTTCATCAATCAAGCTTTTCACTCTTCATCATCTTCACCTTCATCAATCAAAATTTCATTCTGCAATTTTGCATCACAACAAGAACACACAATAATAAACTCACAACAACGCAACAACAACACAAAGCAGAGAGAAGCAGACGCAGAAGCAAACTCAAGAATTCAACAACGCAGAAATCGCAATGCTTCACTTTAACAACCCAACCCCATAAAAACAAGTCACGCAGAGATTCACACAACAACAACGAACAAATTGCATGCGAAGAAGGGGACTGCAATCGAAAGTACAAGCAACCGAAGCAGAAGAAGTTCAATCAGATTTTCGTACCTACTCCAGTCTTCTTTCACCACTACTTCTAAAAGCGCATCCAAAGGTACCGTTTCTTACGTTTTCTACTTCATCGTCGATTCGTACTTAGGTTTGTTCTCTGTGTTTTTGGGATATTAGTTGAAAACGTTTGTGGATTTGGATTGAGTGGAGAAGGATGAGTTTACTGATGTAGAATGTGAGTGATTTTGTGCTCTGCCGCCGCCAGTGATGAGCTCTGGCACGGCGGAGCTAATACATGCCGGATAGATTTCTTTTGTGAGGTGAGAATGTTAAACTGAAAATGAATGTGGAGTGAATGAATGCTGAACTTAACTGCCCTCTCTCTTGGTTTCACCTTCATGGGCCCTGTACCCTTGGCCCAAGGTGAATTAGCAGAGTTGCACCTCACTACTATAAGATACATCCCCATCCAGTTTGCACCCCTGTTTTGCTCTTTTGTTTTTTTTGGCTTGTTTTTATCATTTTTTGTTTGTTTGTATTTTCCAAGTATCTTTTTCCTTAATTGATCTAATTCATTAATTACTAACAAATAATTTACAAACCACAAACTACTAACATTTTACGTTTCTTGTAATTTATATTTTCTTCATAATTCTTACATTCTACCTTTTATGTCATTTTCTTCCTCTTTTATTATTTATCTTGTTAAAATGAACCAAAGAAACATGATAAAAAAGGGAAGGACTTAAAAGTCTTGTAAGACATCATGAAGTTATGGACTTTGAGTGACCCTAGTATCATGGAGTTTTGGACTTAATGTTTGACCCTAGCAAAAGGAGACCTGAACTTGGATTTTTAATTCCTCTAGTTAGTCTAGGACACCTTTGCACAAACACGACTTTCTCTTGGGCTACCTGACAACGGGATCCTTTATTTCTTGCATACTTCCCTTGTATCTTTCATGTAGCCCTCTCCCCTTTTAATGTGCTTTCTTTACTTTCCCGCTTTCCTTTGGTTTTGGTTGTGCTCGCTAGCTACCCTTAGATACTAGGATCGACTTCATCATTTCTTTATCAATAATAACAATCCTTGATCCAACATCAAGTGGCATTTTTTCAATAAAATCCTTGATTCAACTTCAAGTGGCATTTTCTCAATAAATTCCAAAACAAAATAAAATACGATTAGAATTCCACGTCACGAGCCTTAAGTGGTGAAGAAGGAGTGAGAATTGAGCTTTTATGCCCTCACTCTGAGTATTTTGAACACAAGACGTTTGACTTGTTAGTTTGAGATATTCACCTCTATCCATAGTCTTTAGTGCAATTCGAATCAATAACAATTTCTTTTCAAAATCCTAAAAACAACATCATTGCATCAAACTCTCTTTCGTGCCTTAGGGCATCATCCCGAAAACTTTTTTTCAAGGTATAAAATCAACTAACACATACTTATTTTTTAATTGAACTACGAAGCTCTGATTTCTCATTTTAATATGAGGATACGTAGGCACGACGAGATTGCAAAATCTACGCGAGCACACTAATTCAAAAACTTAATTTTACCCTATTAGCAAATAACCCTTAGATAAGCGACACTCATTCGCGCTTAGACAACCTAGATGGTTCCCGTTGAGATGTGAGGGATACTAATATCTTCCCCTTACATAACTGACTTCTGAACCCGAATTTGGTTGCGAAACCATATTCTTCACCTTTTAGGGGATTTTATCGATATTTTCCCTTTCTTTGGAATAAATAAAGTTCGGTGGCAACTCTGTGTATTTTTTGCATGGCGACAACTGGCGACTCTGCTAGGGAACGGGGTTCCTGAGTAAGTCAAGCCTAGTCTAGGTTGCTTTCTTCGCATGTTTGGGTGTTTATCTTTTAGCATTGCTTGCTTTATTTGTTGCCTTTTGCTTTAAATATTCGTATCTTATTTGTTATGTTGCTCTCTTATGTTGTGGTATGGATTGGATACCTTGGTTGTAAACCTTGTGGAAAAGACCCTCCACCCGATTCTAGAGTGCAAACTTAAGATAAGAGAGGTTGCGTGGTATGGGCCACCGGGAATCTTTTCTCGTAAGGGTCGATACGAAAACCTCACTTGGAGTATATCCTATTGAGGATATTGGTGACTGTCAAGCTTTTGGAGTAAGCGACCAATGTTTTCATTGGGATCCATGAATCCAAGGACCTTTGTAGAACCTTGAACCATTGGCCCATTAGGAATGATGGTCACGTAGTGCGGGTCCCTAAGAAGCTTTTCTCGCGAGGGTCAGTATGAAGATCTCAATCAAAATAGACTTTTTTGATGGAGTTGTTGCCTGGCAATGACTGACATACACAATAAACAGTTAAGGAAGTCCATTACTCTAAGACCTTTGTCTGTAACACAATGTCTATGGTCACATAGTATGGGTCCCCGAGAAGCTTTCCTTGCATGGGTCAATATGAATACCTCACCCATAGTAGATTCATATGATGGAGTTGTCAACCGACATGCTTTTGTCATGCGTGATAAACATTCATGTGAATCCATGACTTTGGAGTTCCTTTTAAGCCATATATCCTACCTAGTGAAAACCTATTTGGAAGGCAAACTGTCTTATCCTCCATCTGTACCTAAGACTTTTGAATCCCTGAAGCTCATTCATTCATTCATTCATTCATTCATGCACCGCAATAATGAGAATACTTCTCGCATGTATTAATGCATTATCTTACATTTTAAAAACAATATCAAAAGCCTCATATTACCTCTCATTTCTAACCAGATAGTTAATTTCCTGACATACACTCAGAACTAGAAGCATGTCTCAGATCACTATGGAAGAACTCTTGAGAGGCCAAGAATTGTTGAAGGAGGAGGTCAACCAATTGAAGACTCATATGAGCATGGTCATGGAAATCCTGCAATCACTATTGAGGAAGGAAGGCAACTCCGTACCAACTGCTACAGTAGAGATGCTTGCTCCTGGGCATCTTCCTAGCCCCACCTCATGTTAGGAGTCACCTCACGAACATCATCCACCACCTGGATTTCCGAGGCTTCCATATCAGTAGCCACTTCCATTTCCTCTACCAATTGAGAGGAACCAGGCATGGAGTCAAAATTAGTATCCAGGTCAGCAGCGAAACTTTGCACAAGAAGGCCAGAAAAACATTTTGGCCCAGTACCTATGGCATACAGTCAACTTCTCCCTTTGTTGCTCAATAGCTCGCTGGTTCAATTAAAGGATACCGAGCCTCCTCCAAAGCCTCTTCCTCCGGATTATGATGTGAATGCCAGATGTGTATTCCACTCTAGAGCACCCGGTCATGCGATTAAGAATTGTAAGGGTTTCAAATACAAAGTACAAGACTTGATCGATGCAAAGGCTATCACCTTCACACTAAGCAATCTGAGAATACTAAACAATCCCATGTCCCCGCATGCAGGCACATATGCAGTTCCATAACTATTACAAGGGTAGATCCGAAGAGGTTGCATTTGTTGGAAGAATCTAACATTAACTTCTACAAGCAGAACAACCCCAATTTGTGGTGGATAATAAGGCCAATCACGACATCAATCATTTTGTCATTCAATCATTTTCATTTTGTAATATTTTCTACTTATCAAGGGAAAATTTACCTGTAAAACTTGTTTGTTTCTATATGATAATGATAATGAAATGAATATTAATGTTTTGAATAAATCTAGTCGTGTTAACTCATATATTTTCATCGATATAAAACTCTTGTTAAAGAAAAATCCAAAGGAGGATGATGAAATCAAAAGGTGCAAAGATGTCAGTCGTATTCTTTTGAATAAAACCTTGTTGGTGATGTAAAATCATTGTTTCAAATACCCAAACACCAGAGGTATAAGGAAGAAAATCCATAGCCAACCCCGTTGAGCCTAGAAGTAGGAGTTTCTTTCTAAAACAAAAAAAACCTCAATCTTAACTTGGGGCAGGGTAGTCTTCAGTTAATTTGACCATGCGTTCAAAACTCAAAAGGGAAAAGAGGAGTATCCTATTCGAGGATCAATCACATCTTATCCCTCACAAGGGTTTGTATCCCACCAATCCACAATGTTTGTCCCTCACTAACAAAAGGAACGAGGCAATCACAATCCTTACAAGCCTAACGAACAAGTGTTACACAATTTATTCCAAAAAACAAAAAATAAAAAAGCAAGAAAAAAAACATAAAAGCCCGCTAAGTCAAAAAATAGAAGACGAGTGACTTAGGAAAATATTAGGGCATCTCGCTAGGTTGCAAACTCAAAAATCAGTCTAGGCAAAAATTAGGGAAAACAAAAACAAACAAAAAAAGATCAACAGAAAATCCTCAATAAGAACAAATTCGTGTGACTACGAACCAAAGATCAAAAAGTGGGTGACTTCCACTCCTAAAAACCTCAGTGTTTCCTTAACCATCACTTATACCATTCAATAACCTTTGAAAGGTGAATACTTGTATCAAACTAGCTGAATGTAGGACTGGAGAACATCAAGGATAATGGTGGGCTAAAATAAAATTTTGAGCCATAAATCCTTTTCTTTCTCAAACTGTGAACCAGGTCACGTTATAACCCTCAAAAGACCTAATTGAAGTAGGGTTATTTCCAAAGCATACTTCGCTAAAAATGGCATCAAAGTTGACTCCTAAAATGATTTGCTTACCATTCGTGTTGGTATCGATGTGACATTCTAATCAGTGATTCATTCACTATATGTCACAATATCATTCTAGTGAACAAACTTGGATTTTGAAACTGTCATATGCATTGCATTAAAATTATCACTCTCAAAACGAACAAATTTACTTGCGAACA